CACACAATGTACACACATCTACACGCGACGTATCCCGATTGATCATTATTTAATTATGACTTAAATTAATCAAATACAAAACGTTCTTTAACATGTTATGCGTACAAACCCTTAAATTTACACGCATATATTAGCACATACACACAATGCACCGTCAAATACTAGCTGTGCAGTTACTGGTTTAACTAAGAAATGACGAATACATCTAACTTAAAACTAGAAATAGGCTAATACAGGTATACAATAATGTTTAACAATAATTAATTATAATTAATTGTGATTAATTGTAATAAATTATAAATAATTTTATTTAATTTTGATTAATATGACAGACATGGCATGGCCTACATACACACATACATTTTTTTGGTATAATAAAAAAAAAAAAAATCACAAAAATTCACGTCACACGACTCACATACACACTCAGTAGGGGCAAGCACATACATCGCATCATACGAGTAACGAGTAGAATGGTATTTGAGTTTCGGGCAGACAGTATTCTTTGGTTACTATGATGATAATATATTTATAATTTATGCAGCTGCTGTCGGCGCCGCCATCGGGATTTTCCGCTGCAGCCATAAATAGCACCACCAATAATAACGTGGATTTTGAAATTAATGATATGCAAAAAGATCAGCTGACGTTTATGCTAATTAGCTATAAAACGAGGTTATGATGACTTTTGTGAATGAATATTATTTTGAATAATAATAATAATATTATACATTACGACGACAACAACAACAAAAACAACAACAACAATCAAACAAACTTTATTTTAATAAGGCCAACAAATAAATAGATATTATATTAAACAACAGAACCGAAGGAATAATAAAAAGATTGCAAGAAGACAAAAAGCTGTTGCAGCAACAACTGCAACAGTTGCGCAACAACATCGAGCAACAGCAACGCAACAACAACGACAACATCCAACAAATGCTGAGCAACAAACAATTAGTCGAAGACGCTTTACTAGAAAGAGATAAGGTGTTATTATTGTTATTATTATTGCGTTGAAACATGATTTCTACTTGTTCACTGTTTTGCTATATTTTAATCTGGTTTTTATAAAGTTTATAGCTTGAAAATTGGCTCTAAAGAAGCGTAAAATTATGGCACTCAATAAGTCACTAACTAATTTTTATTTCAAATATTTAATTATTTTATTTCTGATTTCTAACTTAATTTTAACAGTTAATGCAAGTAAATGTCCATGCTGTTTTAGAAATTTCATTAATGCTAATAGACACTCCTGGCGTTGTACAAAGGCTGCGTTCAACTACGACAACATACGCACGCATATGAACGTTGAAACCAAAGACAATTCCATTTGTGGTATAAAACAAACTAATCAGCAAGTTGAAGAAGGGGTTGAAACAACTCAAAGTCATGGGCCATAACAACCGTAATTATGACTCTAGAATTAAATCGCTTAGTAAACTAATAAGGTCATAGCTATCGTCTTTGAAAGCGCTAAAAATTGGTAAGATTTCAGATATCACCATTCAATCACAACAAGAGTTTTGGGCCACTTGTAAAAAGTTGTTCAGTCCGTCAAACGGAGGCACTCAAACGAGACTTAAATCGCCACGACAAAATTCTCTCAATAATTGTCAAAACCATCAAGACATGCGCTAGTTCAAAGATCGCCATTTTTGGCAGATGGCGTTTTACCTTTGAAGGGCCGCAAATGTACTTAAATAGCAATTTTTTTCGACCCGGGGAAGAATTTTTTAAGATTTGTAGCTGTTTTTTTGGTCATAATGTCTGGCTGACGACCTTTTTTGGCGAACAAGGCCTCGCGGGTCGCATAAAACAGCCGTAGTTTGCCCACCCATGAATTATACAATTGCTAGTAGCCAACTCAGACACCTGACGATAGTTTGCCCACTCCGAATATAAATCTAAATATTTTTCACCGCTCTGCACTTTTCTCTCTGGAATGAGCAAAGTGGTCTATTTCTTCCTTCCTTGCGCTTTTTACATTATTCCATTCAATTTTAATTACATCATCAATCTAAGTCATTTTAAATGGTAACCGTACACGTTTCCATTAGTTTGTGAAAATAAAAGATCTTCCTATTATTATAATTATGATGATTATTATGATTATGGCTATTATTATTATTGTTATTATTATTATGACGAAATCAAACAGTGCCTTATCCGCGAGGCACATTTGAAAAGTGAACTGACCAGACTCCAAAATGTCCTTGACACGCAATCACGTGATGTCACTCTGGTGAAAAAGAACGAGGTTGAGTGATTGATTGGTTGATTGATTGGTTGGTTGATTGATTGATTGATTGATTGATTTGCCAACCAATCAACCAACCAATCAATTTATAAATAATAATAGTAATAATAATAATCAATCAATCAATCAATAATTCGATCTGATTTTTTACTTCATTCATTCATCTCATCACGCGTTCTTATTTTTTTCTATAGTTCATTCATTCATTCATCCGTACATTCATTCATCCGTACATTCATTCATTTATTCATCCATTCATTCATTCATTCATTCACTCACTCACTCATTCAATCCATCCGTCAGATATCCACCTTAACATCGCAACACGAACTTCAAATCGAGAAACTGAACGATAAAATAACCGACTTGGAAGGAGTCATTACCATTACAATCTTTATTATTATTATTTATTATTATTATTTATTATTTATTATTATTATTATTACCATTACGAACAACCACAACCAGCAAACATTCTTACTTACGACGATGATGATGATGATAATGACGATGACGATGTTGACAAACAGGAAATAGCCAACCTGAAGAACAGCAACTGCACACTGGAGCGCGAGAGATCTCGTCTGCAGGAAGAGTTGGCGGCCATCTTGAAAAACATGGTGGACGAAGAGGGGGCCAGGAGGACCAGTAGTGAAGACTTAGTGCTGAAGTTAGGCAGCCTCGAAAGAGTCAGGGATGAGATGGGGATGAAGATGGGGATGATGGCCGACAAGATGGAGGCTTCTGAGAAGGAGTACGTGGTGGTGCTGGGGTGGTGTGGTTGTGTGATGGAGTGATAGAGTGAATGGACGTGTGAATGAATGAATGCACGGATTGATGGAGGAATGGATGGATGGATGGATGGATGGATGAATGGATGGTTGGATGGATGGATGGATGGAAGAACGGATGGATGAATGGATGGTTGGAGGGATGGATGGATGGATAAATGCATGGATTGATTAATTAATGAATTGACAAATGAATAATGAGTGAACAAACGAACGAATGAATGAATTGAAAAATGAATGAGTTAATTACAGAGTTACTTCATCATCGTCGTCATCGTCTTCATCTTCTTCTTCATCATCATCACTAAAATCTCATCATCATTATCATCTTCTTCATCATCATCACTAAAATCTCATCATCATTATCATCTTCTTCATCATCATCACAAAAATCTCATCATCATCATCAAAATCTCATCATTATCTTCTTCATCATCATCATCTTCATCTTCTCCTTCATTATCATCACTAAAATCTCATCATCATCGCCATCCTCTTCTTCATCTTATCATCATCTCTAAAATCTTATCATCATGATCGTCATCATCTTCTTCTTCATCATCATCACTAAAATCATCATCATCTTCATTATCATCATCTTCTTCTTCATCATCATCATCACTAAAATCTCATTATCATCTTCATCATCATCATCATCGACCAGACACCAGCGAACGGTTCGGGGGCTGGAGGAGGAGTTGAATCAGGTCAAGGCGAGGTTGCAAAGAACTTTAAATGACCTTGACCTCGTTATAATTGAGAGAACGAAGCTGGTGGATGAGTGCAAGGGATTGAGAGAAGAGAGAGATAGAATGAAGGATGAAAAAGAAAGTGCGTTGAGGAGGTTATCAAGACAGGTGTTCATAATTTTATGGCGCTCAGTCGATCGTTTATTTATTTTTTAATTCATTTGTTGGCCTCTTCGTTTGTTCATTCATTTATCTATTCGTCCATCCATTCATTCATTCACTCATTCATTAATTCGTTCTTTCTATCAGTTACTTTTTCATACAGCCAATCATTTTTTATTCCTTTATTAAACTATCCATCTATACTACATATTCCTTTCCTATGTTATTAATTAATTAATTCATTCATTCATTCATTTATTCACTCATTAATTCATCCATTCATTCAACCATTTATTTGTCTATTCATTCAATCATTCATTCATTTATTCATTCATTCAATCAGTCATTCATAGGTCTATCCATTCATTCAATCAATTCTCTAATTTTTCAACCCACCAGATCCTAATCCTACAGCAAACTATGAAAACCAAAGACATCGAATATGCGAGCAAGATGGCCGCCATGGAGGATGAACACCGGAAGATGATGCTGGAGCTGAACAGTCACGTGTCAACCAATCAGAGGATATCAATCAAGTTGGTTGATTGATAGATTGATTTGATGATTGATTTGATGATTGATTTGATGGTTGATCTTTATTTGATTGAGTAGTTGGCTAAATGATGATTGGTTGGTTATTCAATTAAGTGTTTGTAGTTTGTACGTAGTTTAATTATTCAATCAATCAATCATACAATCAATCAATCAATCGAACAACCAACCAACCAGCCAACCAACCAATCACCAACCAACTAACCAACCAACCGACCCACCAACCAACCAACCAACCGACCGACCGACCAACCAACCGACCAATCATTCAACTAACAAACCAAAGATTAAAAGAAGAGACCGACTCGATAATTAAGAGATTGGAATCGTCGGTATCGAAGCTGAAGAGTGAATTAACAGTGGAGAGAAAGAGAAAGATGGAGCTGATGAAACTTCTAAGAGATAGCAGAGATAAAAACATTGAGGTTGTTATTATTATTGTTGTTGTTGTTGATGATGTTATTGTTTCCGTAACACTTCCCACATCATTTTCGTCATCATTATCGTCATCACCGTCACCGTCATCATCATCGTTATCATCATCACCACCGTCATCATCATCATCATCATCGTCGTCATCATCATCATCACAATTAAAGACAGAATCCAAGATGGCGTCCTTCAGCAGGCACGTCAGGGAGCTAGAATTCAAAATGGCCGAAAACTCTCCACGCCACCACCACAATCATCATCAGCACCTCCATCATAATCATCATCCTCACCATCGTTATCACGACTGCCAGCTCTTTAAGGATAGACTGAATGTAATGAGTGACGTCGCGAATGAAGGAATGAAAAGAAGGAACGATGACGATGATGATGTTGTTGCCAATGAAAGCAAACTGTATGATTAAATATAATGAATTATGATGATGACGACGATGAATATGTATGATGTGACGATGATGATAATGATGACGATAATGGCCTAACGGTAGGTAATTATAATAAAATATGATAATGACGATAATGGCCTAACAGTAATTATAATAAAATATTATAATGACGATAATGGCCTGCGGTAATTATAATAAAATATGATAATGATGTTAATGGCCCGATGGTAATTATAATACTGTAATTATAATATTATATCATAATAAAATATGATAATGATGTTAATGAGACAGTGACGACGGCGACGATAGTGATAATGGTGATGCTAATTAACATAATTAAATTAATCAATCCTCGTTTATAGTCTCCATCCGTTATGGGTCGGACTAATTAAATTAAATTGATCAAATTAATAACATGACCTATATTATATATAAATATATATATATATTAGAAAATTTATATTTTAGCGCCCTTTAAAACATTTTAAAGGCGCTGCTTAAGTCATGGGGTTTATTTCATAAAAAGATGAGTTTTTAGTTCTTTACCGATAGAAAGAAGAGTTTTTAGTTCTTTTTGGTAGCGGTAGAAGATCCTGACAATCTGAGCGTAACTGGGGACGTATAAACCTATGTAAACACTTGTCAGACAGGTAACTCGGACTGAGACTATTCAAACATTTGAATACCATGATGGCAATTTTGAATTTGTTGGCATATGATTTTGTTGGAAGTTCTATAGAAAACACTATTACAGTGGTCTAGCTTAGAATAAATAAACGCATGAACCACACAATTCAATGTATTCTCATCGAGCGAATTTCTGATCTGTCTGAGCCTTCGTGGGTGGTTGAAATGAACATTCCTTGTTTAACTTTTTGACATGATGATCCATAGACATATTTTGATCGAACGTGATTTCCAGATTATTGACAAATGAACAAAACTGGATGACTGATGCAGATATGTTAATAGAGTTGACGCGAATCATTTGCAATTGTTGTCAGGTTTCGACGAGCAGAAGCTGAGCTTTACCCTCGTTTAGCTTAAGTCTGTTGTCTATCATCCATTTATTTAAATCTTCAACACAGCAGACAAATCTGTGAACTAAATTATCAAATGTCGCTGCTCTACAACAAATTGGAGCAATGATTTGAACATCGTCGGCATTCAAACTTTTCGATGATGTTGAACATATCAGGCTGTGTAGAGCAGAAACAACAGAGGTCCTAATACGGAGTCTTGAGGAACCCCAGATGAAACCAGCTGAAGAGATTTCGTTGTGTTCTACCATCAGACAACGTATCGTTGAAGAGAGTTCGTTGTGTTCTACAATCAAACAATGTATCGTTGAAGAGAGTTCGTTGTGTTCTATCATCAGACAATGTATCGTTGGAGAGAGTTCGTTTTGTTCTACCAAGCAAATACCATTCAAACCACGTCGCAACCATTCCAGAAACACGAAAACGATATTTTAACTGTTCAATCAGCAAAAACTGATGGACGCATACGAAGGCTGCTCTCACATCCAACAGCGCCAACAGTGAGAGCCTCCGAACATCCATCCATACATTAGATGCAAATGGTTCAGATGTCACGCGGATAAGAGCAGTCTCAGTGGAGTGATGTCGTCTGCATCCAGGCCGATGAACCGCCGGCAAGTCGAACTTAACTAAACGATTCAAAAATTGCTTGGAGACAACACGTTCAATAACCTTTGATAAAAAGAGGAAATTTGAAATTGGACTATAATTAGTTACGTCATCTCCGTCAAGGAATGGTTTTTTCAACAACGGAATTATAATGGCATGCTTTAGTGACTTAGGGGAACGACCAGTGCTCCTCAAACACACACATATATATGTATACATATATTGGATTAAGACTGTCAGAAATGCAATTATTGATGAAAATCACAGCAAGTTACACACAGGAAGTTAACTAAGGCCGAACATGCTGTGACTTTCACCAATAATTGTATATATATATATATATATGTTGGTAATAGACCATAATTTTTACAATATTCTATAAATTTTACCGAATGTTTGGCGTTAATATGTTTGTAGTTCGTTTAAACAAACATATTAACGCCAAACATTCGCTAGAATTTATAGAATATTGTAGAATATATATATATATATATATATATATATATATATATATATATATATATATATATATATATATATATCTATATATCA